TGTCCTAACCTGAAGTAAGAGGGCAATTTGGGTGGGATGTCTTAGAACACTGTTGGGAGGGTTCCTTAAAGCTGGAATACCCCTTGGTTGTTTAAGAAGGGTTGTTAGGAGGTCAAGTATTGTCAGCCTTACCAGGTAGACCAGACAGAAAACACAACCAGATAAGCTAATTCTACTTTATTGTAAAGCTACATTAACAAAATCTTGCAAGTCTGAAAGTACAGTTCTCCTGCCGTCTCCTTTACAACTTCAGAAACTAGGGAGGGTTCCTTCTGAGCCTCTTGTCCCACCCACTATCCAGCTGTGGGCTGTGCTGTGTCTTATCTGACTATTCCCTAGGCAGCATTTCTTCGCCACATCTCCCAAGGTCTTTTCCACATCCCATTCCATCTATTGAGAGAGTGATATGTCAGCTTGAGTAAAATACCAGATAGCTGGCTTCCAAGGGTGATAGGTTGCAGGTGATTGGGCAGAGTGAATTGTTGGTCAGTAACCTATGTGCAGGGAGATGTATCATTTTGGAGAGGGGGGTTGATGACCTTTGCTTTGCATTATTGATCGTAAACACCAAGTCTGTCTGCAATAAGACAATGCCATGCTCATCCACAATTCTATAACTGATAAGCAGATAAACTGGGATATGTATTACTGATATCCTGGTTGGGTGGCCCTTTTCAAGATCAACCTTCCTGGATTTTAGGTCCTTCAGCAAATTCAGTGTTAGGTTTGGGAGGGCAAATGGTATTAATCTGTGGAAACATTTTGGCTCTTACCAGGGCTTCTACCCTAGTGATGAAGTATGAATGCCTGTATGTTAACTTAGGCCAATGGGACAAATCTTCTTCATGTACCAGCCATGCTACTGCTTGGTAGGATCTCTTCCTGAATTCTTAGATTTAGTCTCAGGGCTGGTGTTGCTCTCCAGTCACTTGTTGGAGGATCTCAAGTTCTAGGCCACTGGGAAGGTTCAGGAATTCATAAGTGCTTATGAGTGGGGACTGCTTGTCCCAAAATGTTTAGATGGTCATATACTAGATCTTGTCTTCATCTCAGAGCAGATGGTTAATGATCTGGATATAAAGGGCATTAATTACCCTTAGCCTTTAGCTGTGGTCAGGTCATTTCCTGATTCAGATGGAACTGACTGTTAACTATGTTCTCCACGGGGCAAACTAATCTAATACAATAGACTGTCCCAAGCACATTATGGATCTAGAGAAATTTCAGCAGACACTTAGGGAATATCTCAACAGTTTGGCAGCCGGTTCTGTTGCTTATATGATGAACCACTGGGAACAGAAAGCCTTAATGCATTTGCTTCTAAATAGCCTCTTTTTCTTGTTATACCTGATTGGTTCCTTGGTGTGCTAAGGAGCTCCAGGAGACGAAGTGGCAGTAAACCTGACTATGGGTACAAGCTCAAGTTCAGGCCTACATTATGATGGTAACAGAAGCATTGATGAGCTGTTGACTGATTGCCTTGTTTAGGGTGACAACTCTCAGGTTGAGAGATCTCCCACTTGGTAACTTTGACAGTTTTACACAGCAGTTTGCTAGTAAAATGACTCAAATTTGCCAGGGGTTTGACTCTTCCTATGACAATCTACAGCAGGGGTCCTCAAACTTTTTAAACAGGTGGCCAGTTCACGGTCCCTCAGAATGTTGGGGGGCCAGACTATAGTTTGAAAAAAACATGAACGAATTCCTATGCACACAGAGGATCCCTCCTTGACTCTTCCTATGACAATCTACAGCAGGGGTCCTCAAACTTTTTAAACAGGTGGCCAGTTCACGGTCCCTCAGAATGTTGGGGGGCCAGACTATAGTTTGAAAAAAACATGAACGAATTCCTATGCACACAGAGGATCCCTCCCGCGGAGTATGAGGAGAGGAGGAGAGCTGCCGGACCCAGCATACCTGTCATGTAGAATAGTCTGGCTCTGCGATCTCCCTCCTCATGCATCACCTGCAGCTCCCGACACAGCCCTGACACTACTGCTTCTGACAGCGGCGGCCAATCAGGCGGGCGGGCCGGATAAATGACCCTGGCGGGCCGTACTTTGAGAACCCCTGATCTAGAGTCTATGCCAGTGACTGGGATAACATATTGTCATATTAGCTGGAATTCCTTTTGGTCTGTGGAGTCTTAGGAAGTAGATAGGACACTCTCTGGTTACCACGTACAAACAAGATTCATGTCCTTTCTGGCCAATTCATGAGACTGGAGGGAATGTGATATTTTGGAACTGGAGAGTGGTCAGTGCCTCACTTTGGAAGAGATATTGCCTACTGTCTTAAAGGAGGCTCTGACGCCCCTCCCCCCCCTTTAAGAGGTATACTTGACTACTATTGCCTGGTCTTCAGCCTTTCCTTTTGGGGAAAGATTGTTGAGAGAGTGGTAGGCAGCCAGCCACAGAGAACCCTAGAGAAACTTGATTATTTGGACTTCTTTTAGTCTGGGGTCAGATCTGAGCATGGGACAGAAAAACTTTGGTCGCTTGGTGGATGATTTTTGTCCGAACCTAGATAGGGGAAGTGCACCCTTCTGATCATGTTAGACCTCACAGCTGCCTTTGATAATATTGAGCTTCTGGACTACCTGCAGGAGTTGGGGATTGGGACAGTTGCAGGCAATTCCAGTTCCAGTGCAGGTTGTGGGGAACAGAGGTCAGCCTGGTAGCTACTCTCTTATTGAATGCTGCAGATCTTGGTCTTCTCTCTATTTTTCAGGATCAACATCAAACCATTGAGATTGGTTGCTTTGGAGTACAGTATCATCAGTATGTTTATAATACCCAGTTGTGTATCACCACCCTGTATTATGCCAGTGATGCTGTTGAAGTTTTATCCTGGTATCTGGGGACTCCTGAAAACCTGGATGGAAAGAAACAGGCTGAAGTTGAATCCAAGTAAAGCACGATTGCTAGGTGTACATTCATGTTTTCTGGCAGCTTTGGGGTTGATTTTCAGAGGGTAGCACTGCCCTCTGAGAGATCAGATATGTGATTTAGTGATCTTTCTGGATTCATGGCTACTGTTAGGTAGGCAGGTAGAGTCTATGGCAAAGAGGGGCTTTGCCTTTGTCCATGTATAGCTGGTGTACCTACCTGGACAGGAAGGACTTCACAACATTAACCTAATTCTACTTGATTGAACTATAGCAATTTGCCTTATGCCTTTAAAGACAACCTGAAGACTGTGGTTGGTTAGAATTAGAACTATTCCCAAGCATAGCCTCAATATGTTATGGGAAGGCTACCTAATTGGGCTATCTGAGGAAACAACCTTGGTGAAATATTGCAGGCCAAGCCCACTTAATTTATTTTAAGTCAAAGTAAACAAACTTTATTTAGTGATTGCTTTATATGATCAAAAGTATCTATTAAAGAACTGCACATTTAAAGAATATCCTGGATGCTTAACTAATGTCAAAGTATTGGTCTATACTTTCATTTTTAATTGTGGGAAGGAATTATTTCTTCTGGAAGAGAATTTGGAGGAAAGCTTCAAATCCTGTGGACTGTTTAGTGCTCCCCATTATAACTTTATTTGCTAACTTATTTATTTTATATGATAAAACTTTAATGGCCTCAATGGAGACTGTGTGAAGGGGTGCTGCTTTATTGTCTTCTAAAGGTAAATATGAAGTCATTTTAAACATGTATGAACATTGTGTGCTATTGATTAGAAAATATGTATTGAGGCGCTTTCTCTAATTACATGAATTTCCTCCCACACAGATTTTTCTAAACTATAGGGGTCCATAGCAAGTATGAACATTTTATTAGTATACTGAATGCAATCAAAAAAGTACACAAATTTGCCAGAAAAACTTGTGCTTCGAAGATTTTTCATCAGAAAAAAGTACTCTATACATGGATAACTAATTGTGAAAGCTAGATTTTCTAACAATGCTTTGTGAAGGATTAAGCGTATTTCATTATTCTAATTTTAACCGGAGTTCTGTGTGTACACATATATGACTAAGACTGGAACTGTTATTTTCATGAACTCCTAGCATAGAAAGAGCAGTATCTGTAGAAAAATAATTTAGAATTAGAAAAACAGTAGAGGGCAATCTAGTCTAAAAGGAAATTCTCTCCTGTTATGTGCATACTTGAAGAAGCAGTTAAAATATCCATTATGACCATCATAGCTAATATCTTAGAGAAAATTTTCTAGGAGAACTTGGAGTTCTTTGTGTTTTTCTTTACCTTTCTTTATGCCCTTTCTCTTGCTTATGAAAAGGCAGTGATTTGTGCAGGAGAAGGAGTTCGTTAACAAACATAGCTAGTTCCCTAGCAAACCTCAACTAGGGAGAAAGCTGCAGACAGGAAAATATGAGGCATATCTCATTTTCATTTTACAGTATTCAGTAAAACAGCAAATACCTTGCAACTATATGTAGATAATAACTTTACACTGTCAGTTATTATAGGCACAGGAAGCATCAGTTATTGAGTTTCCCATCTGGTTTGCAAAACTGTCCTCTCTTTTCTATCTTTGATGTGCATCTCCTGTCCTGAGGGAAAGGGGAAAAACTCATCTTTCTGATCAGCAGCTTATCCAAGATAAAAATTGTTTCCTACTCATACCTAAGGTCTCCACAGGAAGCAGGGGTGGGGTGGGGGGGACAAATGAAAAAGCATCAACGCAATGTTGCTTTCATGAAAATGAAAAGCTTAAATAAGTCAAAATGATGAAAGATTAGATCCTGTAGATGCCTCTGCCCCACAAGACTTTAAAATGGCCTCATTGGTCTGGATTATTTAAGGTCGTATTTCAAAGAAATATGTCTCTCCAAAAAAATTACAGTGAGAGAATTTGAACAATATAGTTAGCTATATGAATATTATCTTCCTAGCTTCAGTAGTATTTTATGATTGTCATATAGCAAACAGGTAATCTTTTACTTGTGCAGAATGAAAGAAAACTATTTTGAATACCTAGAACCTACCATTGATTAGTAGTGAGATAGATAGACAGGCAGACAGATAGATACACACACACTATAAAACCACAATGACCTATGCCTTATTTTAATAGTGATGAATGTGTTTTGCCAGGTATACTTTCATTGAAAGCACTAGTTAAAATCCACTTATTTTTAAGAAAATTGGACAACTTTTTAATGAATGAAGAAATGAATGCAAAAGAAAGGGAAAAAAATATTTGATTGAATCCAATTTAAATAATGATCTCTTTGGGAGCCCTCCTGGATTCTCAGATACTGCTCAGTGAGCAAATGGCAGCAATGGTCAGGAAGGCCTTTGAACAAATCCATCTTCTGTGCCAATTGCATCCTTGGGAGGCCCTTCTCACAGTCACTCATGCCTTAATCACCTTATGCTTGGATTCCTGTGAAATGTTCTACATGGGGCTTCCCTTGAAGCCACTTAGTAGCCACAACTGATACAGAATGTGGCCACATAAGTAGTTAACGAGTGTTCCTCATTTTGTCTATGTAACATCTCTGCTCTACAAGCTGCACAGGGTACCAACTGGCTTCTGGGTGCAATTCAACATATTGATTGTCTTCTATTGAGCAACACATGTCTTAGGATCTGGTTACCTACAGGACAGTCTTTCTCCTCTCATCTCTCCCTGTTCAGTAAAATCTGGAAGGGTTGGCACATTTCACATCTCAGTTATAAAGCATTGTCATCTTATGGGACCTAGGCAACATACCTTCTCTATAGCAGTACTGCAGAGAACAGCATTTCCCCAGAGTTTCATATGACCCCAATGCTGTTGGGCTTTTGTAAAGCTGTAGAAATGTGGCTGTTCCAGTGGAGATAGGAAAGAATAAGGTCAGGTTCAGGGATTTACTCCCTGGCGGTTTATTCCTGATTGTTAATAATAGCTTTCTATCTAATAATAGTTGGCTATCTTCCAGGATGTGTGGTTGTCTTTTATTATCAGTTTTTGTATTTTATTACTTCTGTAGATGTTTTAACCCTAACATGTAAGCTGCTCAAACTTACTCCAGTGGTTGTGGCAGTTTAGAAACTGATAGATGAAAAAATCTCGGAGTATTACATACTGATTTTGAATGAATCAACAATAGTTACACTGTAAGACACAAATTAAATACTCTCTTTCTCACTATATGTCACTTCTTTTTTTTAGAATTGGCTTGATTCTTCAAAGGAAATCAAGAAGCAAATTCACAGTAAGTGCTTCAATCTTTATGTTTGCTTTTAAATTAATCATTTAGTGGACAATCTGTGGACAAAAACTTGTTAATCTGATTTCTGAGCAGTACATTACTGCTGACTTAGATTAGTTGCATGCTAAAAATTGAATTCATCCCATTTTTCTGCAGTAGATTGGACTTCTGATGTAATATGGTAGTGATTGAATGTACATGAAAAGGGGCATACATGCAAACAGTATAGATGAGGTATGGCCATTTATAATATATAGTAATTTGTTGAAAACACATTATGTGAAGAGCATCATATATGTACATACTATCAAATAAAAAAATATGCTATAGCAACAGTGAAGTTATCACTAGTTTATATTATTTATTTATCTACTTTATACTTTGTTTTCTTCTCCAGTGAGCACTCAAGGCATCTAATAAAATGTATAAACAAAAGCAGAATATAAAAATGTAAAAACACAGATTAAAATTAACAATAAAATAAGCAGCCAAGTTTTCATTATTTTCCTGAAGGCCAGGAGGGAGGAGGGGAGTGTTTGTTGGGAAGAGGGATATTATTCCATAGAAGGTGGGTGGTGACTGAGAAGGTATGTTTCCATGAAGTTGGCAGATTCTGATTGAGGGAATGAGTAAAGAGTAAATCTTATTGGGGGCAGGGGTATAGCTACCCAACCTGAAACATATAGAGCCTTAAAGGTGACAATTAGCACCTTGAATTTAAATTTATATGGCAATCCAATTCATACAAAAGTGTCTCCAGGCAACTTACCTGTGGCTAAAAATAATAAAAGATCCATAACAACATATAAAATCTTCACAGTATTGCATAACTGAGGCAACCATAATATATTCCATTTCTCCCTGGGTATTTCTACTCATCCTATCCAATCCGGTAGGAAGGCCATTCTCTGGATACTGTTGGCTAAGAAGCGTCAGCTGGCAGGGCCCAGAAGAAGAGTCTTTTCTGCTGTGGCATCTGCCCTCTGGAACATCATCCCTCCAGAGATCAGACTGGCCCCAACCCTGCTGGCCCTTGTAAGGTCTTAAAGACCTGGTTCTGTGCTCGAGCCTGGAACCCTGGGTGTGAGAAGGAGCCCATCTCCTAGTTGTTTTAATGGCTGTTTTTGATTTACTTTCCCAGATGCTTTGTGTGTTTTTTCTATATGTATTGTTTTTATTTACTTTAATAATGTTGTGCCCAGAGTCATTTATTTGAGATGAGTGGCCATATAAATCAAATAAATTCCAATTCAAAATCATTGTAGGGCAAACTTATCCAGTATTCTGGCCCAGTGTGTCAATCTTTCAAGGTTGTCCAGGTCAAGAAACTCTAGGGAGGTTGCTTTATTGTTGTAGGGCATATTAGTGGAATCTGGAAGTCCTGTCCAAATTTCTCTTTCTTCTATTCTATATACTAAATAAATCAAGGTGAGGCTCTTTTTCACTCTTCTTTCTATCTCTACACTATGTAATCTCTTCTCCAAGTCTGTCCTTAATGACTTGCTCTTTCCTTCCCCCACTTAATGGCTCTCTTATACTTTCCCCAAAGTCAGCTTTAAATTCCTTTATGAATGCCCAGAGGAACAGCCAGGTTTTCAAGCTTTTATGAAAGGCCAATATAGTTGGAGTCATCTGGATGTTGCAAATGTGCTGTTCCAAAGTATAAGTGTTACAACATAGAAAGCATTCTTCCTAGGTCCTGCCAACTGGCAGCCAATGCAGCTCTTGGAATAGAAGTGGTATACTTAAGCCTTTGAATTCTGGACCAGTTGTAGCTTCCAAATACTTTTCAAGGGTAACCCCTATAGAGTGCCTTGCAGTAGATTGATAGGGAGGTGAATAAACCCAAGTGACAATAATACTTCCTGTTCCAGGAAAGGTTGCAGTTGGCACACAAAATGGAAGAATAGCCCTCTTTGCCACAGCTGCCACCTGCTCCTTGAGCAAGAGCTGTGAATCCAAGAGGAACCCCCATATTGCTTACAAGTTCTGTTTTGTTCAGAACTAGTGATGGAATCTCACTGGAATTATTACCTGCATTTAATTTGTTCATCAGTGACTGTATAGTACAAAGAGAAATAATACCTTTTCAAATACAGTTGTTTCATGTTTGCATTCATATCCCTTATTGTCACACTATCTCTTTTTAAAATAATTATTGGCTTTACATGGAAGTCCAGCAATCCCTTGCTAAATCAACCTAACAGATAAGTGATCATGAATATGAAAATAATATTGGAGGAATAGAAGATGTGTGCTTCTGTGTATACAGAAAATATGTATGCATTAACATGCAAAATTTTTATTTATCTTAATGGCCACAACAAGGCATTGTACACAATGTCAGAAGTGGTAAAGAAAATGTGCATTCATTTGACAGTGAAGGGACAATCTCTGCAGTAACATTTTTGATACGTAGGGAACCTTCCTCTTATGCTATTTTTTCTAATTGATATGATAAGGGCCTACCTGAGTTAATACTATCTAATCCTTCCTTAAATAAAGGCTAGATAAATGCTGATAAATACTACACACCTCTTAATGGGCTTTTCCAGTGAGTCTTTCTCAGTTTTTGTTTGTTTGTTTTTTACTGGCTAAATATCAGAAACAGATGGCTCTCTTCTATGCCTTAAGGCTTAGATTGCATACTCAACTTTGTCAAACCTTCTGATGTAATGTTGTATTTTAAATAAGACTTGTAATAAAGCTCCAAGTTAACAAAGCATCTTAAGATCTGGTGAACTTTCCAAATCCTCTGTTAGAGAAGTTCCTAGAAAATCAGGCTTTTGGAAAGTGAACAGATGCAAATACTTTACCAGTCTGGCACAATACTCCAAAAGCTCATTTGGTAAAACTGCATAATCTAATCTGGTATTAGTGCAATGTCTGTTAGCCCTATTTTGATTTTTTTACAATTTCAAGCATGAATCTTTGAATGTTAATGGGGTAAAAGCCAGTTTTGGTTTTTTTTCTGATCACTTTCACTTTAATATTTTATTGTTTTATTGTCTTATTGTTGTATTCGTCTGGATAGTGCTGATATCCAAAGCAATGATTTCAACAGACCTTTTTGTAGTCCATCTCTCCATCTTGTAGGAAGTCAGCCAAGTGGTAGGGCCACCACAATGTTATTTTTTGTGTCCATCTATTGTCAGGTAAACATACATTGTGTCCTGCTATGTATTTATATTTCCATTTTAGTGCTATTGCTATGACATCTTTGAAATTAGTTGTTACATTTCCTCATTTCTGATTCAGTGTTTGTGAGCGAGATCTGTTGTTATTGTTTTGGTAGTGAGTTATTGGAAATGTAACAAATAAATCCCCCACTATTCTTTATTTTATTTTGTTTTCTTGATTTGATACAATGGGTTTTGGTCTCTAAACACTGAAATAATTAGTTGTTATAACTCTGAAGAACTAGGAATATTGGAAGCAGTAGTATCCTCTGGTAACCATGTTTGACAATAGTATTGGATACTAGCAGTGGGGATAATGATGAGTGCAAGCAGCCACATTTGCCATTTTGCTGAACGTTTGTAGTTCACTGATCTTTTCAAGATGAGGGTTGTAGGAATATGAGTAGCTGAGAAAAGAAAGGGAATATAAAGGGGGAGGGGCTTATCATTCCCCATTCTCCAAGAAGATCTTTCTCTCTGTCTTAGACAGAATGCTATGTATTTTTATTTTTATTATCTTTCATAACCTATTACTGGCACTAGTTATTGGCACCTACTTGATTTTTCTTAAGGGAAAGAAAGAACCATGAACCCTTTTGTGTTTCTTACAATAGATGTATCGAATGTATAAGTATGCGTGTATTTGTCTTCTTTTTTAAAAAATAAGTTTATTGAGAATTTCTAATTGAGAAATGTATGTATATGACAACTTAAAGCATGTGATGAAGTGAATAGGCTTAAATTAGGAAGTGTTTTGTGCAAATATGAGTTGAAGCTCAGTTCCTGAATACAGTAAGAGTAGCATATGATGGTAGTAAAGCATGCTTGAGAATAAATGGAATGCTCAGTGATTGTACACCCTTGTATTATTTCCTGCTCAGTTTTACTGATGTCCCTTTAATTGTTTAATGTGTTTAAGAATAAATGCATAAGGAATGTTTTTAGTGATGACAGAATCGTTTTAATTGGGGACATGAATGTACATGTGCTTTGGTATGCAGGTGATGCTATATTGTTGGCTGAAAACCCAAATAATTCCCAGCAAATGTTATGATGTAGGGATTATATGATGCAGTGAGGAGTATGGATCTAAAAATTAATGCTTCAAAGGCCAAGGTAAATGGAGAAAATACAACAAACAGTTTAAAAAGCTAGAGCAAGTAGATAAATTTGTATATTTTGCTCAAATGTTTACTAAAAATGGGAAACTGGGTCGAGACATTTTAAGATATGCAAGTGCTGGTAGAAAGATAGTGGGTTGTGAATATTTGTCAAAAGAAAGTAAATGGGCGGCATACAAATTTAATAAATAAATAATATATTATACTATTGTATGTATAATAGTATGCTTCTGTTCACTTTTTTATATGGAAATGAGAGTTGAGTGTGTCAGAAGAAACATAAACGTTTAATTCTGTGGGAATGGGTTACCTAAGAAATATATGTGATAAGACAAGAAGTGGAATCAGGAATTAATGAGTGCTAAATGAATGTAGATTGAATACAAAAGTGAGCCACTAGGATAAAAAAAGTATATGGGTAGTCCTTGTATAGTGACCACAATTGGACCAGCAACTCAATCATTAAGCAAAGCCATCACTAAGTGAAACCACATCTGTGTTTATGATCTTACTTCAGCTTTCCTTTGCTTTACAGACCTGCAAAAGTTGTAAATGTGAGGATTGGTCATAAAATTACTTTTTCATCACTGTCATAACTATGAACAGTTGCTAAATGAGGCAGTCACTAAATGAGGAATACCTGTATGGAGATGGTTGGTCATACAGAGAGAATGAATGAGGATTGGATTGAGTAGAAAAACTATACATGAAAAAGTGAGAGAGTTGTAATTGGATACATTTGTGGGAATTTTCAAAAAAGAAATAGAAGTTTAAAGAAAAAGTGTAGGTGGTGGTGTATACTGTTCATATGGTGGAAGCAAGGAAGACTTGCAAAGATAGGTATAGAGAGTTATTAGTAAGGATGTAAAGGTAATGATATAGCGATGTTGATGTAAACTATACAGGTAGTCCTTGGTCAACAGCCATTTGTTAGCGACTGTTCAAAATTATGACAGTACTGAATGAGGAGACTTACAGTCAGTCCTCGAAGTTGTGGCTGTCAGTGTCCCTGTGGTCATATGATCACGATTCAGGCACTTGCCAACCGGCTCGCAGTTATGATGATCGCAGCGTCCCATGGCCATGGGATCCCCATTTGGGACCTTCATTGCTGGCTTCTGACAAGCAAATCAATGGGGAAGCTGGCAGGAGGTCACAAATGGTGATCACATGATGTTGTGCCTAATGACTGTGCAGGATTCACCTAACAACCACAACTGGAACTGCTGTCGTAAATCGGTGTTGTCATGTGATGTCACACTTTATGACCACTTTGTTTAGTGACAGAGTTCCTGGTCCCAATTGCCATCATTAACTGAGGACTACCTGTATTTACCTATGCTTCTTTTTCTTGTCTCATGCCTTTAGTCTCTTTAGTTTTTTATTTCTGAAAGGGAATAGCATGAGTATGCATGCGTATAATCAAGCGAGTAACCCAGATTCTGCAGTTATGCAAATTTGCATATTGTTTGTACAAAAAGTAGGAGGCCACTGGCCTATAAAATTCTTACTGTCTGCCATACTCTCAGGCCAAAGTATTTCATCATTCATGTTACTGGCAAGAGATTTTTCTTCCCCTTTGTAACTCTTGTGATTGGAATTTACTTACCAAGTTGCCTTGCATTTAGCTAAATCCATTTCTTTCATTTTGGTATGTTTTAGTTTTTTTTTTTATTGTGAGCACCTTGTGAGGGTTGTGAGGGCTTACAAGGTGCTACACAGACAAATAAACAATATGTACAGTGACCCTTGTTGTCCATGGTTTTTGGCACAGTTTTGTATATTTATGCATGTGGAAGATGAAAGGGCTTTTGTGCATGTTTATAGTACTCATTTCACTGTCTCATTATCCACTGTTGTTCAGCTGGAACCGAAGCCCTGCAAATGAGTGCCACCTGTACAGTCTGTTTTAATTATTTGCTTGTATAGCAGCTCAGCAGTTTTAACAACTCATTGTTCCGAAGCTACTCTGTTGATTATCAACAGAGTAGGTTAAGACAGACCAGTCAAATATTTTTAAAGTATTTGCATTATAAGAACAAATATAATCATCATCAACAGGTTTTATATTTTGTTATTTACAAAGAACAGTTATATTTTTTTACAAATGGAAATGAATTATTTGTAATATTTTTGTTGTCCTTCTCTCAAGCGTCAAATGACTTAACTGTATTTTTTTTTCCTTCTTGATACTTAAGTTATCACACTAAAATCACAGATTGCAGTCTTTATGTATAATGGGTAATATCTTCTAACAATCTCCCTTTATTATTATATTTTGCTTAGTATATTTTATTCCTCTTTTATTAACATATGAAACCTATATAAAATGTAGAAAAATAAAAATTGTATTTTAAAAATCAAATCTACACTGAATTAAAAGCAGTTGATATAAACACACACACACAAACACACACACACATATTAAAAAGATGGAGAGATGAAAGGAAGTGGAAATTGGCTTTCTTTAATCACAAGCAATGGTTTTTCATTTCTGATGATGTGTCATGTTCTGTTTTAGAGATGGCCCCCAATTAGAGCAGATATTTTGTCTTAGTTACTACAGGATTAAAATGCTCTCCCATGTGCCTTTGTTTATAGAAGGCACCATAATAAAATTAAAAGATGAAGTTGTTACTTGGGATCTTTATAATTAAATTCAACCATTGACATATAATACTGGTCAGTTGAATTTATGTATAGGCAGTCCTCACTTAACAACCATTCATTTAACAACCATTCCAAGTTACAATGGCACTAAAAAGTGACTTATGACTGGTGCCTGAAGTTATGAGTGTCATAGCACCACCGCAGTCATGTGATTGCAGTTCAGGCATTTACGACAGTTGAGCATCCCAGGTTCACATGATCACCATTTGCAACCTTCCCAGCCTGCTTCCAGCAAGCAAAATCAGTGGGAAATCACGTGATTCACTTAACGGCCACATGATTCACTTAACTACTGTGGTGATTTGCTTAATGATCACCACAAAAAAGGTAGTAAAATTGTGTCTGGTCATGTGATGATTCGCTTAATGAACTCATTGGTCCCAATTGTCCCTAACTATACTCAAATATATGCTACTTTATGCATTTTTATTTCACAAGTTTAAAGTTGTCTCTTTTCTTATTTATTATAATTACATAGAATGCTTATTTCTTGTACTGTAACTATTTACTTGTACTAATAATATTTAGAAGCCCTATGTGGTGCTTGACCTGTACTACAGGTACTCCTTGTTTAGCAACTGCACACAGTTACAGTGATTATGAAAAAGTAACTTTATGACAGATCCTCACATTTACAACCTTCACAGGTCTGTAAAGCAAAGGAAAGCTGAAGTAAGGTCATAAGCATACTCGCGGTTTCACTTAATGACCACTTCACTTAATAATCGAGTTGCTGGTCTCAATTGTGGTAGCTAAACAAGGACTACCTGTATTACAATCAGATTTCTGTCTTTGCAGTATCTCAAGTAAAACTCTGGGGCAGAGAGATTTTATTTGAATGGTCAGATATTTTATGCACAGTATTGACCAAAGCATTTTTGTAGGTATATGAAACTACTGTATGATTTAAATGTTGAGTCAATTTTTTTTAAAGAACTGTTTTCTGAATTTAAAAAAATATTATATATTAATGGTAGCTAGTAGTAGTTTTGGCTGAATATAAACCTCTGCTAAAGCTACAGTCCAGCACACTGATTGATCATATATTACTAACTTCACCAGTTTGAATTAGTAAATTGGTCCTGACATTGTCAATCTAAGACAAATAATGAAAGTATTGAGTTATCAACTATGAGTTACGATGAGCATGTAGGTGTTTTTACAGGATCTGTATCAGTTTGCTTGCCTTATCAGCATGTGTTTCATGGTATCTCATATAATTCATGGTTAGTATATTTGATTCAAAGTAGAATAAAAGAATTGAAGACAACTTGGAAACTGTAGGTGGCACAGAATGTTGCCCATGTCTTGTCCATGAGCTTCCTTGGCTGCTGGTTGGTTTTGGGGCCCAATTCAAGATGCTTGCTATTCTTATAAAGCCCATAATGGCTCAGGTCCTTGTTAGCTTCAAGACCATCTGCCCAACCAATAGATGCATGCTGAGAGGCAAAACAGTGGATTCCTGCCCACCCCTCCATGGGAGGTTAGAGTTTGGGGGTCCAGAGGATGGCATTCTTGGTTGCAACCCTCTCAGCTGTCTCCCCAAAGTCTCTTATTATCTTTTAGGAATGATAAACTGTGCTTTCCATAGGACATTTGGAAAAGAGGTCACCTGCAAGCTTTGTGTTTAGTATGTTTTATGGTTTAATGTGCTATGTTTGTAAACCGTCTAGAATCCATGCAATATTTGTATAACAGTAAGTAAATAAATACTTATGTTTAAACATTTTTCATTAATCTCAAATGGTATGGACAAAACAATTTATGTTTGTAAACCGTCTAGAATCCATGCAATATTTGTATAACAGTAAGTAAATAAATACTTATGTTTAAACATTTTTCATTAATCTCAAATGGTATGGACAAAACAATTTAAAATCCAGTATATTAGTAATTTTACAATATATACAAAACAATTTTAATTTAAGAGTTTCTCTCCAGTCCTTAGTGTATACAGTAGTTTTGTTTTTTTTCCTATTTGTGGATAAAAATAAAGTTTACTCTGAATGTTTTCATTTTTTCTCCCATGTGTTTTCTATGGAATGTGCCAAATGTAGATTTGCCATGGCTATTCACCTTTAATGTGAAGTTTTATCCACCTGATCCTTCACAGTTAACAGAAGATATCACCAGGTATGCCATTAAGCATTGTTGATTCCTACATTATTTAGTGTCTCTTGGAAAATCTGTAAAATGTTACATCTCATAAGCCTAAGGCAAATGGTCAAGATGCAAAAATGCATCATTTCTGGCTTTTTTCCCCCCTATTTTAGCTGCTATTGCTTTCCTCTATGTTTGATTTCTAGTATTTTTCCTAAATCTAGTGTAGAAATGTATATACAGATTATTACTGTAGATAAATGTCATGGAAGAAAAATAATCATCTGATAGTAATGTTTTTTTATTGAAGAAGAGGAACTAATTAAAAGCAGAAAAGCATCAATATTGAATCAGCTGCAGATATTCAAAACATATATCATAGCATGGGTGTGTGAGGGAAGAAATACTTTTCCTATTGAAAGAATACTTCAATAAATCAATTTTTATTTGAATTAAGAGATTTCTTGATAATAGGGAATGTTCTGTCCTCAGATGATGTAACTCTGACATTTCTATGGTTATGTTCCTTTAACTGGAACCTTTATGATTTTCACTCCCAGTTCATGGAAATGTTTCTCATAATTTTTCAAGACAACTGCATGCAATTATGGTTAAAATTCTTCATCTTATCTGCCAACAGAATAGTTTATTCTACTTGTGTCCTAGTTAGCCATTATTTAGAATAGTTATTAGAGTCATATGGTAATGAGTTACTCTGTAATTTGCCTCAAATATTATGCAGTGTAATATGGAAAATAAAAAGGAATTTGTACATTTTAAAAACTATAATACTTCAGTAGCAGTAGTCAGAAAAATTGCATTAAGATTTTATTGATAGTATAATTTCCAGTTTTACATGAGAAATAGGAGGAATTTGATTTTTTTTTTGCCCTTATTAAAATATAATCTTATATTTTCTATGTTTGCAGATTGCTTTTAATGTAGATTTTTAAAATGTTACAATAGGTAAGAATATTTGTCAGACAATTATCATTATTCTTTTTTCAGGTACTTCCTTTGTTTGCAGCTTCGTCAAGATATTGCTTCTGGACGTCTACCATGCTCTTTTGTGACCCATGCTCTGCTTGGTTCATATACTTTACAAGCTGAACTAGGTGACTATGATCCAGAGGAGCATGATAGTGGTTACATACGGGAATTCCAGTTTGCGCCTAACCAGACAAAGGAGTTGGAGGAGAAAGTAGTAGAATTACACAAGACACACAGGTGCGTCATGTTCCCAGTAATTGATTTGTATTCACTTTTGCTTTGCTTGCTGCAGATAGTACTGAAATCCAGATAGAATCTAGTGATCCAACAGTGATTTTGTATTTCTTCATGCCCTTAATTTGGAACTTTATTTATTTATTCATTTAAGATTATTATAGCTGCCCAATTCCACTGAACTCTAGGGAAAGATCAAGTTTGAAATAGACTTTTTAGTTCTTCACAGTTAAAGATTGTAGTGGATGTTCCATAAAAATCAGTCCAGTGAATCAAAGTTATTTACTTAAGCACAAATGCTCATGAACGCTTTTGATGAAAAAGTATGGAGCTTACACATGTAAATAGAAAACATTGTCCATGATAATCAGTGGGCCTCACATTAGCTATATGATTTTCCAGTTTTCAGTTTATCTAGTGGATAATACTTGTGTATTTATGTAGCACGCTAACATATTTTGCACCAGCAAATTATCTCTGAAACCTCTAAGTAGAATGCTGCTGAGGTTCTTACTCAGTGCCTGGAAGAAATGGTGGTCTGGATGAGGAAGAGCAGGCTGTGAGTCAACCATAGCAAGACTGAGTGGCTGTGGGTCTTTTGGCCTGCTGGATCTGGAGATTTTCCATCTTTAACTCTAGATGGGATAGCACTTCCCAAATTAGAATTGATGCACCCAACCTGGAGGTCCTCCTGGACTCACAACTCTTGCTGAGGAGCAGGTAGCTGCTGTGGCTATGAGAGCCTTTGTTTAAATCCATCTTGTGCATCAGCTGCACCCATTCCTGGATCAGGAAGCTCTGCTCATGATCACTCATGCCTTAGTCACTTCCTGATTGGATTACTGCAATGTACTCTGCATGGGGCTGCCACTGAAAAGCACCTGGAAGCTTCACCTAGTCCAGAATGCAGTGGTGCATGCAGGATTGGGCCAGTACAATTCACCCATGTGACACTGCTATTCCACAAGCTGCACTGGATCCCACTAGGCTTCTGGAAGGAAATCAAAGTGTTGTTTAAAGCTCTGCATGGCACAAGTCCAGGTTACTTGCAGGACCAGCTGTCTTTGAGCATGCTCTGGATCCCTTTGGTGAAACTGTCATCTAGTGGGACCCAGGAGATGTACATTTTCTGTTGCCACACCTGTATCCTCCCCCTGAGATCCAGATGGCCCTGACCCTACTGGCCTTCTAGAAGACAATGAAGACCTGGTTTTTCCCTGAGGTGATAGGGCCAGGTTGTTAGCAGAGCCCAATATATGTGCTTTGGTGTTGTGAGTTGGTCATGAGGTGCCTCAGTTATTGTATTACAATTATTTTTACTAGTATTTTTTCTCTCGTTTTATATTGTTTATATTTTTTTCTTGTGCATTATTTCTTAGCAGCCTAGAATTGTTTGTTTAAGATGGGTAGCCATATACATTTTCTGATTAAATAATTTTCTCCTTTTGATCTTGTATGATCATTTTTTAAGCCAATCCCTATGTCTGAAAAATCCACACGCAACTAATAATAGGATAAGACCAAATCATATGAGTTCATGTTCCAACTCCTGAGTTGCATTTCCAACTAGGCTATAATAACCAAGTTTTATTAAACATTCTCTGAAGTGTCCAGTATACATGAAGCAATTTGGGTTTTTTATATTAACCTTATATTAACATCATAGGAAACTAATATAATGTTAGTTAAAACAACCCTCCATCCAATTACCAAAATGGGACATTCTGATTTGTTCCAGAGTTTCTGTAGATAATGAGTATGAATTTCATTAATTTCATTCAGCATCTCGTACAAAAGGCCTAGAAGCCACAATTAATTCCTCCAAAACCTCCAACTATTGAAATATTTCAGAACCAGTTATGACATCTAGAACAAATAGATTAAAATAACAAATATTTAATTTATTTAATATAGACGCCTTCTTCCTGACTCTCAATGACTCTCGGTGGCTCACAATATAACAAAAACAAATTAAAATAAAGTAAAAAAAACACAATTTTAAAAAATTAAAAAACCCAGCAAAAACAATTAAGTTGAATAAACTACCAAGAAGCACACTCAGGTGAATCAAATTCGTATTTTAATTCTATAAAAGTTTCAGAAACAATTTCTCAGAATTGAGTTAATATAAAATAATAAGCTTGTTAATAGTACAGTCTCACACTCTGCCTTCTATCATTATGCCATTAATGTTTTCAGAATTTATAATGCAGTCAAGAGATTCTACAGCTAGATTAAAAAGAAAGGGAGAAAGAGGGAATCTTTGGTTTCTTTATTTCGAAATAAATATAACCAAGGAGAGGCTACACTATTAAGAATCCCCCATGATTTAAGAGTTGAATCAATGATATCAGTCCAAAATATGACACTTTGGTAAGCCCAAAGTAAGTAAAAACCCACCTCAAATACATCTGCATCCAAAAAGCTTGGGTGGGGAAGCTTTTTGTACAAGTTGATTGTCTTTGGAAAGAACATGAGTCTCCTGGAAAACAGTAAGTTCTGTTATCTTTTTGAAACTTAACTAAAACTTGTCTCTCCTTAGTTGGAAATTTCAGTCTTTTAGTGATTCATGTTACAAGGGAGGCTGCTGTTAATATAAGAAATACTAAAACCAACAAGGAAAAAAGGCATTTCCATCCATACAGTATCTGTGCCCTATTGAAAGACCAAGCCAAAAGAGGTGAGAAAAATAGAGAAAAAATAGTGATGTAATTAAAAATAAAATCTATAACCCTAATTGGCTGTAGTCAAACATTATGTAATATATCCCTGCTACTCCCTCACAAATACATAAACTAATCAGGAGATTGTTATTAATAGTATACAAATCAATAGGGAGGGAAAGGAAAAAATAATGAAAATAATAATCTTCAATGATTTAATGAAGAAGAAAAAGCAAAGGGAGAGAAATCAAGGGAAGAAAAGGAGGGTTAGAATAAAGCTATGGGGAAGAAAATCCCATAATATTTCCCCAGTAGACAAGTCTATAATTAAGAGCCAGCAACAACAAAGATTTAGCAGCCAGGATACAAGTAAGCATAATAGTAAAACATATGAAAAAAAAAAGTCTTTTTCAACAGGAACTTAAAAATGCAAGATATTTTTCAGCTTCCACATGATTATGAAATTATTTCTGAGTGCTATTTGAAAATTTCAAAACAAAGCTGACGAGAAACTAGGGATTTTTTCCTCTTCTGATTACACCAAAGAAGCTCAACAAGACAAGAAAGATGTTCTAGAGAAACATCTTTACTACTTCATCAGGATCCCTGGCTATTGTTCCACTTAAGAGATAATACAGTTTGAATCCCTCAAGAGCAAGTTCAGTTCTTTTTTCTTGCCTAAATAGTAGACTTTTGAAAAACACCAGGGCATTTCCCTTTATTGTTTGAGCTTTTAGAATTATCAAAATGTTTATAACCATTAGGTATTGATGTAATGGTTTTTGGGCATGGCTGTGCCAAGTGTGTTTCTACTCCAGTATGTTTTGATAGTTTTCACAAATGCAAAGACTGGAAGCTGTTACATTTGAAAATGGACACTCCTTCATCGGGAATAATACAAGGTCAGATGTTTTAAATGATGGGATTAAAACTATTGCTACTCCTTGCAAAGACTGGCCATGCCTAGAAACAAAATACTGGCTTAGCAGACCATGGTCTGAGTAGCAAGGCATATGTTGTCATATAATAACAACACAAAATAACATAATATTGTTTTTTATGTTTCCTTTTTAAATATTTGCAGAGGTTTGACTCCAGCACAGGCAGATTCCCAATTCATAGAAAATGCCAAGCGGCTATCCATGTATGGAGTGGATTTACATCATGCTAAGGTATTAGTCAGCATTTCTATGAAAAATAAAACTTCATTTAGAAAACGTGGTGGACTCATGTACTTAAAAATCCCTATTGTACAATATATAAGTTCTTGTTGTTTGTGAGGAAAGGAAGAAAGTGTTGTTGCTGGCACCAAATCAATCTGATGGGAGATTTGATTAGAGTACGGGAAGTAGATATGTGTTACAGTTTCTGGCAGATGTGTGAATCAATCTAAATCCACCCTGTATCAGTGCTGTAGTTTTTGATATATTCTATTTCCTCTGCATGAAAGATAGGGAAATTTAAATTTGGGAAATAATTTGAAATCCATGGTAGATATTTTTAATATTTCTATTGCATATGCATTATTCCATGCTTTTTTAGGCTTGTTTTAAGCAAGATGTCTTCTGAGCAGCATTCTACTGCTGCATTCTCCCCTGTACAATGCCTCCCTCCCAACATACACAAGCAAATACAGGTAGTCCCCAGTTTAAGAACGAGTTCTGTTCCCAAGGTCTGTCTTTGAGTCAAATTTGTATGTAAGCCGAAACAGTATTATTGTATGATCCTGTATAAGTAGTACTGTGTATTAACTCGAACCATTGTGTATTTAACTTGAATCACTGTGTATTTAACTCGGATTTTGCTACAGTAGGCTCCGTTCTTAACTATGGGTCATCTGTAACCTGGGTGTTCTTAACCTGGGGACTCCCTGTACAGAGATCAGGTAGGGAACACCAATATGCCAATCACCGCTTTCTTTCTAGCTGACTAGCTGGAGAAGGTTCCACTAATCAGAGCCCTTGCCCAAGCTGTGGCAAATCCTGGAATAGCAAAACTCTTTTTCCATCCCCTCCTCACTCCACAAAGAAAACAAATTGCTAGCCTAAGTATCCAGAACTTTTATTTGCCTTTGGGCATTTGCAAAAAGAAGAAAAGAAAAATCTGAGCGCTTGCCCTAAAGGGATATTTGCGAAGCTGTCAAGCTGCTATTCACCTAATGCGTTTTAAAAGACCATTGTTAACTGTGATAATGAAATGATATAATGCTGGCAGTTTTGCAGCTAGGAATTTTTCCTTTCAGTTATAATCATGACTGCATGTTGCTGCAGTTGCTAGAATGGAGGAGATGAGGAAGTGTACTGGAAAAGTCAGTGGGATAGGTGGGGTGAAAATTCCACAGAGCATATATTCTACAGAACGTTTGGTGTTTAGGAGTCTATATACAATATGTTTTCATTTTCCCCTGAAATTTCAACTATAAACATACTTTCTTGTTAAAAACTTGGGTTGTTCATGCTTTAGTTTTGAAGCAAGATGGGTCCCCTCTAGTAATAGGAAGTCTACTAGCCAAATATTTGGATAGTTATTGATTTGAAACATTACAGTACATGCTACAAAATTGAATGGATTAGGCAATAGGTCACTGACTGTTGTTCACTGAAGCGTTTTAAAAATGTGGCTTTTTCCTTTCATATGATGTATTTCTATCTTCTGTGTACTTTTTTGATATTCAGTATTTCCAACTTTATACAACAATGCAATAACTTTTATCATTCTACAGTATTTCATTCATCATTGACTGCCTATTTTACCACTTCTGAAGTATTTTCTTACCTTCTAATATTGTTGCTCAGCTAAATTTCCATGCCTGTCATTGAGATAATCTTTTGTACTCTCCTGCTGTCCCATTGTCTTATCTATCTGCTTGTATGTATTCCTACTGTAATCAGTTTGAAATTGCTTTCATTCTTAATTTGATAGGATTCTGAAGGTGTGGACATCATGCTGGGGGTTTGTGCCAATGGGCTACTCATTTACAAAGACAGACTCCGAATAAATCGTTTTGCCTGGCCCAAAATTTTGAAGATTTCTTACAAACGCAGTAATTTCTATATTAAAATCAGACCGACTGAAGTAAGTATTTGGCTATCATGATTCACATGTCAGAAATCATATGAATACATGTCAGGTGGTTCAACAGTTCACACTGTGATTAAACTGAATATATGTCTGCCCGGTAAAGTTTTTTTTTTTTTAAATCATACTAGACCTGTGAAGATCCATAGTGCAAAGTAGCTGTAGCTACTTGCAGGTTTGGTTCAGTTCGTGCATGGCTCTCCTGAGATGTTCTCTATATTGAATATATTTAAGAATGTTGATATTTCACCTGCGCTTTGCTTTCTTGTTGCTTCACATTTCAGAATCAAACACAGGATCAGATCCATTAGTAATGAACAGTAAGAGATTTTTTACAGCATTTGGTGCTCACAAATAATTCATGAGCAATTAAAAAGATTCCAGATGTAATTAAAAAAAATTATTGTCTTACATACTAATTGTATGAAATCTAATCAATTGTAGACTTGCTATTTGATAACTTATCCAGATGTGTACTGTTTGCAAGTCTAATAACTCCTAGTTAACATCAGTTTCTTGGAAGATATTTATTATTTATACAGGAATCTTGTTGTAGTGTATTTTAATTAATATTTATTCTTTTTACTGTGAACTGCCCAGAGTCGCTTGCAGTGAGATGGGTGGTGACACATTTGAAATATAAATAAATAAATTAAATCAGTGCAAAGTTTAATTATACAAAAATGAAAGCATGTTTTTGCCTAAACATTAAATACAATGGGCAATGGACAAAGACACTGTTATTTCTATGCTTAATTTTGCCAAACCAGTTCCTACTTTGCAGCAGTTTCGTTTTCTTTAGAAATGTTGAATGTTATGGAAAAAAACTTCCAAGAAAGCACTTATCTAGTCACCTATATTTACATTATGTTGTCTTTGGATTATAGCCTCAGAGTACTGTATAACGTGAGGCCTTTGAACGTGTGGTTTAGAGTTGTTAATTAAATTGTGTTCTAAGATGATGATGATGATGACGACGACAATGACAATGATAGTGGTTTTTGTATATAACTCAAGGCAGCAAAATACCTAATACTCCTGCCTCCTGTTTTCCCCACAACAAAACCCTGTGAGGTAGGTTGGGCTGAGAAATCACCCAGCTGGCTTTCATGTCTAAAGGAGGCCTAGAACTCACAGTCTCCTGGTTTCTAGACCAGCATCTTAACCACTGCACCAAGCGATTGAAAATGATTACATTAAATTTAAGAGTAAATGAGATCAAATGCATGTCTACACAGAAGTTAATCCTACTGATTTCAGTATGACTTACTGTCTGATACATATAGTATATACAATTGGAACTGTAATCTTTTTATTTTTTAAATAAAATTTATTTTAAATATGAACCAGAATAAAAATGAATATATTTTTCTACAACATTTGTAATGCTTATTGAAGGAAAACATTGTATGAAAAATTTGTCAATAAAATCCCTGGAACCAACCAGTAAAGGCCTTCAAAACTGTTACTTATATACATTTTTTTCCTTTATTTTCCTCCAAATATTTATTACTGTCTGTAATTCAGAGCAGTAATGAAAATTAGTCATAATAGGAAGAAATACAGTATTTAAAATGAGGGCTAAAAGTTGCTAGCTGAAACAGTTTCCAAAAATTATATTAATTTGTGTGAATTTTTTTCAGCTGGAGCAGTTTGAGAGTACTATTGGCTTTAAGCTGCCAAATCATAGGGCTGCGAAAAGATTATGGAAGGTTTGTGTGGAGCATCATACTTTTTATAGGTAAAACATATTTCTAATTAGTGGGTTATGGGATTTCCATGGCTTTTGTCTTTTTGAGGAAAAAACAACTTTGAGAAGTAGTTTTGGATGTGAAAAGCCCCTTGGGAAAAATAGATGAGCTTCCTTTTATCCTTTGGCAAAAAATACACTTTTCTTATAACTGCCTTTCAGTTATGTGTGTCCCACAAGTTGTTTGATTTGGTCCTATTTTATGTGCTTGATCTATCATAACATTGTGTTTACAGTGTAAGATCCTTTGTTTTGCTAAATGATAACCAGCCTGCCTTATTAAAAAAATAACAAAAAAAACCACCTTTAATTCTTTTCCTCAAGCTGTATGCTAGATTATTCTCCTAAAATATTGTCACAATACAATAAATTGTGATTTGATGATCTGTTCAGTCATCTGTAATATGATACAGCATGTTCAGTCATAGTTATGTCTGCAAAATGTTTATGCTGAGCAATTTGAAACATACCGATAGGTACCTTGTCAGTCTGTAGACTAGTAGAAATAGGCAGCAGGTAATAAGTTGACAGCTCATTGAATCAGTCAATAGAATGAAAGTGTTCTGGTGTACAGTGGGGCAAAAAAGTATTTAGTCAGCCACCAATTGTGCAAGTTCTCCCACTTAAAAAGATGAGAGAGGCCTGTAATTTTCATCATAGGTATACCTCAACTATGAGAGACAAAATGGGGAAAAAAATCCAGAAAATCACATTGTCTGATTTTCGAGTTGAGACCAAAACGTTCTACTTTGGTTTCATCTGACCATATGACAAAAAATCAGACAATGTGATTTTCTGGATTTTTTTCCCCATTTTGTCTCTCATAGTTGAGGTATACCTATGATGAAAATTACAGGCCTCTCTCATCTTTTTAAGTGGGAGAACTTGCACAATTGGTGGCTGACTAAATACTTTTTTGCCCCAAAAAATCAGACAATGTGATTTTCTGGATTTTTTTCCCCATTTTGTCTCTCATAGTTGAGGTATACCTATGATGAAAATTACAGGCCTCTCTCATCTTTTTAAGTGGGAGAACTTGCACAATTGGTGGCTGACTAAATACTTTTTTGCCCCAAAAAATCAGACAATGTGATTTTCTGGATTTTTTTCCCCATTTTGTCTCTCATAGTTGAGGTATACCTATGATGAAAATTACAGGCCTCTCTCATCTTTTTAAGTGGGAGAACTTGCACAATTGGTGGCTGACTAAATACTTTTTTGCCCCAAAAAATCAGACAATGTGATTTTCTGGATTTTTTTCCCCATTTTGTCTCTCATAGTTGAGGTATACCTATGATGAAAATTACAGGCCTCTCTCATCTTTTTAAGTGGGAGAACTTGCACAATTGGTGGCTGACTAAATACTTTTTTGCCCCAAAAAATCAGACAATGTGATTTTCTGGATTTTTTTCCCCATTTTGTCTCTCATAGTTGAGGTATACCTATGATGAAAATTACAGGCCTCTCTCATCTTTTTAAGTGGGAGAACTTGCACAATTGGTGGCTGACTAAATACTTTTTTGCCCCAAAAAATCAGACAATGTGATTTTCTGGATTTTTTTCCCCATTTTGTCTCTCATAGTTGAGGTATACCTATGATGAAAATTACAGGCCTCTCTCATCTTTTTAAGTGGGAGAACTTGCACAATTGGTGGCTGACTAAATACTTTTTTGCCCCACTGTAAATAAATTTTGTTTTGGATCCTAATACTCCCCCCTCCATCTGTAGTCACATGTTCTTCAAGATTTTTTGCCTTCAATATTCTCTTTGATTCTCTTTGTCCTCTTTGACTCCTTTGATAAAAGCATAGGTTGTAATAACTTACCTATGGTAACACAGAATTTAATTTTGTTAGAGGGGAACCCAGCACAGAAAAAAATGGAGTGAAAACAACATGCCTTATTTTTCCAGTTTGCCCTGCAGACAGAAAATGCTGCTACTTGTTCATTGGCTTTTTGACCTGCAAAACACATCTACTTTTTGCTTTCCAGTGAGAGCTTCAGCAGTCAGCTAGTGGACCCAAGGATTGGATTTATCCCAGGCTTCTTTTTCCTTCTACTCGGAATTCGTTTTTACCTGCTTTTTGCTTTTCTTACTTCAAAATACTAGTTTGTCCAATTTCCTTTTATTTTTAATTAGTAATTCAAATTATTCACATACACACCCAATAGTCTGCTTGCAATTTAAATCATTTGGGTTAGATTATACTCTTTATGGAGGACTGCCCTTATATATGATCAAGAACTTCTAAGTACAGAATGCAACACATATGTTTGTAGGAGCTAAGTGTTTTCATCAAGTTAATCCTATTTGCTACATCTGTTCTACAGGAGTTAGATTGTTTTCATTCTAATTTAAGGAGCTAGTTTTAGCCTTTAAAACCTTAAGTGGTTTAAGACAAGGTTATCTGAAAGAGCATGTGTATCCATATGCCCAGCATATGGAGCTCTGTTTTCATTCATTCCTGAAAATCTTTTCACTGGGAAGGAGAATTGAATGGTGCTATATGATTGCAACTCACAGCTGTGTACAGACAGAACACAATACCTGCATTTGTGCATTTTGTTGATTAGAGTCTTAACAGATCTAACAGATCCTAAATCATTTATTTCACCTTTTGTTTGTTATCAGGCAATTTTTGTATCTGCTATACTATACTTACATATTACTTGAATTCTAAATTACACATATGTTCTTAAGAGATTGCATACCTTTTTCCAAAATTGCCCATTTTGTGCCTGGATCCACATTTTTAATAGTATAAAAGATGCTGGATTAGTCTTTAGCGTTGCAGATAGTCCTCATTTAGCGACCACAATAGGGACTAGCAACTCTGTCACTAAGTGAAGTGGTTACTAAGTGGGAAATCATGTGACTGTGCTTTCTTTTTCCCCACTCCCCTGCTTTTTGGATTGGTCACCCCTGTGGCACTGGGATAACCAGCTCGAAACTGACAAGACTAATCAGTTTCACACCTTCAGCTTTTGTTTGCCTCCTGATGCTCATCCCAGCACTGGGATAATTAGCAAGAAGGGAATTAATGTTTGTATTTACATTCATTGAAGAGGAAGGGATTACAAGAGAGTAAGGAGGCACACAATGGGGAACACACATCAGAAGCAATGCACTGGCGCCAGCATCCATGAGCACACTATGCAAACAGCTTGGTGTATTTCCCATTGTGTGCTTGCTTGCTCTCTTGTAATCCCTTCGTCCTCCAAATTCTCTGACCTGCAAAGGGGGGGGGGAGGGACAGGTTAGGCACAGGAGAGATTGCTTGTTTTTTTCTCCCCCTCCCCCTTGCAGAGCAGGGAGATTGGAGAGGAAGGTATTACAAGAGAGTCAGCAGGCACACAATAGGGAAGCATAGCACGCTTATGGCTGCTGGCACCAGTTTCCCCATTGTCTGCCTGCTGATTCTCTTGTAATCCTTTTCTCTCCAATCTCTCTGCCCTGCAAGGGGGTAGAAAAAAAAACAGGTCAAGCACAGGACAACATGTACTGACTATAATGGTGATCATGTGAATGAGGGATGCTGTGAAGGTTGTAAATGTGGGCACTGGTCATAAAATTATTTTTTCAGCACTGTTGTAACTTCAAACAATCACTGAAAAAGGCAGTTGGTAAGCAAGGACTACCTGTATTCAATCTAGTGACTGACTAATGCTCAGGATTATGACTCTGAGAAATCTGCATGCCAGTTCTACTCTATATCTAAACAATGTTTTTCCATGAAGATAATTAACATGAGGAATAAGCTTACTGACACTAGTTTGCAATCTACCCCTAGAAACTGCTCTCCAGACAGTACATAAAGAAATGTTCATCACAGGAGTCTTAATACTACAACATATTAGGGCAGAAATGGTGATTCTCTAATTCTAAATGCTGTTGAATTACAATTTACAGCATACCACATTTTTGGGTGGCTGTGGCTGTGGCTGCTGAGAGTTGTATTTCAGCAACATCTGAAGATTTCAGATTTCAGTCCAGAAGGATACTATGGTCAATGATATCGAAGGCCACAGAGAGGTCAAGAAGAGCAAGGATTAGACACATTACCCCCCTGTCATTCATGCCAGAGGTCATCCAAAAACATAACCAATGCTGTTGTAAACATTAATTAACAAAAAAACAGCAGCTTGATCCTCTTTCCTCTACTGTTTAAATTTCATGAACCCAGTGGGAGAGAGAATTCTGTCATTGAATGAGGGATCATCAATCTGCTGATGGTTTCCAATTATAAATCTTACTCTCAAGGCCTGGCAGTAGATGTGGAGCTTCTGATCTCGGGCTTGGCAGCTGTCAGAGTCCGGATGGGAAATGTAGACTGAATCCCATAAAAGTAGAGTGGCTATGGATTTGGAAGTTCAGTGATGGTCTATCTTTGATTCCGATGTGGTAGTGCTCCTCTGAATGGAGCTGTCCTGCAATATGGGGATCCTCCTGGACTCTGCTCCTGCTTGAACAATAGATGCAGCCAATGGCCAGAAAGGCTTTACACAGTTATATTGTGTGTCAGTTGTGGCCTTTCTTGGATCAAGAGGCTTTACTCACAGTCACTCATGCCCTTGTCACTTCACAGCAGGATTATTGCAATGTGCTTTCATGGGATTACCTTTGAAGATTATCCCTGAAGTTTCAGCTGGTGCAATTATGTCTATTCTGAGGTTCACCCATATAACACCATTATCATAGGAGTTGCACTGGCTGCCAGTTAAGGTGCTGGTTGTCATCTTTAAATCTTTATATAATTCAGGGCTGGGATATCTCTGTGGCTCCCTTCTCTGAGTTGAATATGGCCATCTACTGCAAGGAGGGAGTGTGGGCTTTATGAGAGTCCTATTATGGAAGGAATGCCATCTTCATAGAGCCCAGGTTCAAGTATACTCAGTGATGACCCTCCTCCTCTGGAACAGCTTATTCCCAAGATATCTGGACCACCCATCTTTATTACATTAATGGAAAGCCATAAGAACAGGATTCTTCAGAAATGCATTTTGGGACTAGTAAGATCATGCTGCCCCCAAATGGTGGCCCATTAGATTAATTATTATTGCATTTATTCTTTTTTATTTTATTTTATTAATATTATAAGATGCTCAGAGTCTTCCAATATGGAGCAGCATGTAAGTTGTAATAATTATGGTAATACCAATTTTCATCTTCATGTACTCCTTGGATACCAACAGATAAGCAAGAGCAATCTTTGTGTGAGAGAGGAGGGTGGAACAAAAATACTCTGTTTTGTTACTGGCATTTGTTTCAGTTGAAATCACACAGAGATTTTTATGCAGATGTCTTTGAAATAAATAGAAATTCATATTATGACTGCCAACAAATGATATATATTCATGGTTTGCTTCTAAGGAGCTGGCAGGCAAAAGAATGCAGCAATTCCAACTGTCATTAATATAAGCTGCTTAGCCCAGGAGTAAGCATCAAATTCCCTCATGAAGGTTAGGGTTAGAGTTAGCCCCTTTATTTTCTTCCTTCACTTGATTACCTTTTATACATTTGGATCAAGTCCTTCTAGAAATCATTTTCTCTGTAATACTAAAATAGCCTTCTCTTTAAGTCCTAGCATTCTTCCAACAATTTCTTATAACAAGAAATTGTATATGGGCAAGGAGGAACACTCTGCCTATCCTCTGAAGTATGAAGACTCCCATTGGAAAATAATTTTTTGTCTCTTTTTCATAATCCTGTAGCACAGTGTTTTTCAAACTTTGCAACTTTAAGATGTATGTGGACTTCAACTCCCAGAGTTCCCCAACCAGCATGCTGGCTGGGGAATTCTGGGAGCTGAAGCCCACACATCTTAAAATTGCCAGGTTTGAAAAACGCTGCTCTAGCACAAGGTTTTTCAAACTCTGTTCCATGGAACTCTAAGCTTCCACAAGAACTCTCTTATTCCATGAGAGACTTAAGGGGGAAAAAGCACTCAAATGCTACCAATTTTTTATCACTAGAGCTTTGTGTCTTGATCCAGAATTTTCCTTTCTTTAACAAACAGGTTCCATGGCCTGAAAACATTTGAAATCCTTGCTCTAGCAGACAAGTTACAATTTTTGGCAAGATAGTAACTTTATAATAAAATGTGATCCTTCTTGTCATAGAGAAGCAAAGTATGAGGCAGTCTTTACTTATATGTTACATATGCGCAAAGGCAATATTAAAGAAGAGGCTATATTCAGAAATTTATAGACTCTGGTTTATAATTCCTAGAAATAAGTTGGTATGATGTGTAAAAAAAGGGGGTACACTGTTTAGTGACTATCATTTTATAGTTTGAAGTGACCTTGCCCACTTTTTGTGGTTGTAGACTTGTATCACCAGAACAGCCTCCAAAAGCCAAATTTCTGACGCTGGGCTCCAAGTTCCGTTACAGTGGACGCACCCAAGCACAGACCCGGCAGGCTAGCAATCTCATAGACAGACCTGCCCCATACTTTGAACGGACCTCAAGCAAACGAATTTCCAGGAGTCTTGATGGTGGTAAGAATTGGACAGAAACCAGTGATTTCCTTTTTTATTACCTGTAAAAGAATGTTATACATTGGTATGGTGGTAGTGCTAACTGTTTGTCTTTTAGCTTTCATGTAGTTGGCGTATATTTCACAAATCCTGCCAAACCTGTTCTTTAAAGTGGAAATGCTTTTTTTTTTCATATAATGGATTGGATTAGATTTTAAAAAACATACTGAAGAAGCTGTTCCATAGAAATTGCCACTGGCTCCTCTTGCAAAACAATGTGGCTATCAAACCACTTGTCCATGGTTTGTTTACGGTTAAGTGTTTCATCCAAATACAAGGAGGAGGGTAGACCAATTCCAAATTAATTGGAGAATATAGCCCAGGTTAAATGATCTGTGTCCTATGTATGGACGATGCAGTTAACCAAACATACCACAGGCAAGTAGTTTACAAGCTGTCATTTGAGTGAGGAGCCATTAGGCATGGAATAGTGCATTCAACAGTAAATTAAAAGCTTAGGTGAAGGTGATCTTTGCCTGGCCTGCTTTGTTGTTATTTTGTAGAGCAGTTTTCACCCTTATGCATGCACAAATATGCAAAAATAGGACATGTTGGAAACCTTGCCGCTGTAACATTCCTAATAGTTATAAAGCATGGTTTATTTTTGCATTATACATCTATAAAACATATCTAGTAATATTTATGTTCTAATTGTAACATTTGCTTATAGGCAACTTCGAACATTTTATTGATGTAATTCTGCCTGTCTTACTGTGTTTTATTCCCCCTTTGCAAAACTTCATTGACATGTCATACATCCTCAAACTATGTGGTATCATAGTCCCCTAAAACAATAAACCCCATCCACATGAATAAAACTAATTATTTCATTGGTGTTAATGTCAGGCAAGAAAGAAGTATACCACTTTTTGTAATTAAATTTTAGTGTCTATATCATAGTCTGTATCAGTTTTGCAGGACAGCAGCTGCCTTGTTCAGGCTTGCACAGGCAAAATGAAGAGGAGAGCCCAGGGTGAGCTTTGACAGTGTTCCTAGTAGACCATGCAAGGCTAATCAGGTTTATAAAAAATATGACCCTCTTCAGTTGCTCTTGACCCCTAGGGGCTCTGAACTCACAGGGTGAAAACCCTGATGTATCCACTTATCCTGGCAGAATGTTTGGTTGTTTTTAAAGGAAACAAGTCAGAATTCATCTGAAAACTAATAGGGGAATTATTTAAATATATTTATGTAGCTCCAGTAGGTATTGTAGACCAGAGCCTGCTAAAGGACTTTCCTGTTGTTGCTGGTGAGAGGACCCTTGAAGCAGCTGGACAGTACAAGTTAAAAGATGAGGAAGGCAGAGATCTGGATGGAGACATTGCTAAAATGCCCCAATTAGAAGATGGAAAGGTATGGTTGTTCAAGACAGTCAATTTTGTAAAAATAATAGATTCTGGAAAAATATTAAATTAGAATGCAACATAAGCTATAGTGGAGCTATACTGTAACTTCAAAATCTGTGGCTGTTTTTATGACTTATCGCCTGTCTACATAGGAAAAGGTGTGGACTGGTACGCTGACTGGCATAATACTTTGAGATCAGATTATGATCTACTTCTTAGGGTTCTAAGCCACTGAGTAACTGTTGGAATAGTGGATGTTTGTGCTTTAAGGATTAAACATTCACATTTCTAAATATTTACCTGGTTTGTGAGACTGAATTTTAAAGACTGGAAGTTTCTTGAGATCTATAATTAGAAACATTACACATCCTTTGCTCCTGTCTCCCCCTTCTGCTAAAGCTTTGAATGTCTGTTTCCATTTACACTGCTCTTCACAGATAACAAAAAGCTGGTTGAAATAGTATAATCCAAATGTTTGGATTGTATGTTGTTTTATTAGATAACAAATGGGGCGTATAAATGTTTATACATTCATAATCTAATGATACTACTTATTCTACTTTTGAGTAAAAATTCTCACTAACAAATTTCTCCCTCCCCCCTCCTCCATGCTTTCCTTCTGCTAGAAATATACATTTGTATTATGGTCATATCTGCATCTGTGATTAGACTTTCTCTACTACCATACTCCTCCCATTTTGTTTCTCCTCCCTCCCTGCCTTCAGTCTGTATTTATGAGTTTATGCATCAGTTTGCACCTTCCATTCATTCCTTTTCATCCCATTCCTCAAACTTACTTGATATCCATGAAATGGACATGCTTTTAGATATTTTAAAGCATAATAACCTTAGTAAATCTGTATACAGAGCATGAACCACTGTCCTTTGGCTGAAAAGCCAGAATGTAACAGAAATGAAGATAAATCATTCACCAATTAGTATCTTGCAATCCATTGGATTCCTTAGTAAAACAAAAAACAAAAAAACAACCATTTTCTTCCTCTTGCAATAGACAGAGAAGCTCATAAAATTACTGAAAATGAAGAAGTTGAGTCTAGTTTTCTATTTAGTTTGAGAAAATGGCTTTCTTTAGTTTCCCCTCGTGGCTTGATAAGGATAGTTGTGTTGGATTTCCTAAGTTTCCAGAGGTTTGCATCTCCTTCCTCCAACTTGGTCTTCAGCAATATCTTTCTGGTACTTCTCTCTCATTCCTTCCTTTCTCATTATTTGTGCTATTTCTCCCTACTTTCTAATCAGTTTCCTCTTTCACTCACATTGTCCTTTCCTGTCCTTTTGTTCCATTGCAACCTGGAGCCTAAAGCAACTTCTCTGAGTGTCTTTAATGGCATTACTCTAACAGACAAAGCAAAGGAAGAGAAGGTGTGTAATTTTGTTGCCTAATTGTCTTTTGAGTGTAGTTTTGCTTGCACGCATTTAGAGGTAATTCATACTTCCAGAATGAGCCCAAGGTGGCTATTTGTTTAATGCCATCTATTGTATAAATTCTGCAGTAGATATATGGTATGATCTACTTGATCCTATTCTTAAAGAGAAGTTTTAGAACGCAAGCTACATTAAGATGTTTTCTAGTATGTTAAGAATCTCCCAAATCAAGTGAAAAATTGCACTGCCAAAAACCAGATTGCAGAAATGCTGGAGGGCTTCAGATTGCACGCCCCTGAATTAAATAAAACTCTTCTTACTTTGAAGCTTTGCTTCATGCTTGTGCCAATCAAGTCCATACAAACATATGTACAGAGGTGCTATTCTTGCAGAATGTCTCTTCCAAAATGGATTAGGTCAAAGCATTCCTGGAGGTGAAACATACAACCTGCCAAACAAGCAACTGGCCTTTAGACATAGGTTTCTGTAAATTATTTAGCATTCCTTAGTCATTTGAGAAATAATTGAACTGGTTTCCTTTAATATGTGTTCTCTCTCCCCTCCTTCTTTTAGATATTTCTGCCCCTTTCTTTTAGATATAGCTGCCTAGTTTTGACAAACACTCAAAAGGCTTTGTTCAGATGTAACAATAAGCAGTTGTGTATTATGATTAGAACAAGGCTTTATACAATGCAAGTTTGTGTGCTATCCCTTCCTCCAGTGTAGCTATGAGGAGACTGGAAATTTTATTTTCACTTACAATAAACCACAGACCTGAACACAGTCTTAGTGGGGTTTGCTAATACAAACCAACTTTAAAGCAAATTCTCTATTGTCCATAAACCATTTTTAAAACCAGTCTGGGGAATTGTTCAATGGTGGCAGCAGGTCAGTAATTCAGTGGCTAATTCTGATTTTCTTTTTGTCAGACCATAGCAATGCTGCATATGGCCTTTGAAAGCTTTAGATGTGGCTTCTAGAGTTTTCCAAAAGTTGTTAGAACTTATTAACCATATTGAAGAGCAAACGTATTAAATGTACTTATTTAATTAAATATTAATGAAATTTTTTTTTTAATCATGAATCCTTTATTTTTTGGAGTGTGGCCTCTAGCATGCCACTCAAAGGTCAAATATAATGCTTGGCCCAGAAAAAGAACTGGAAGAATAGTCCTGAATTCTGTATACAGTACATTTAAAGCAGGCCCTGTGTTGGAACTGTTAATGTTTAATGTTAATCAGAATGTGAAACAATATTTTGGGGGTTTTGGGGGAGTGGAGAGGGAAATTTGACTTTGAAAAAGAATTAGAGTTGAATCCAGTGTTTACCAGAGGGCACATAAATATACATCTCTTTGATATCGGCAAATGTTAAACATGCTAATCTTATTGAAGACAACTTGTCTTTAGCTGTGTTTGGCATTATGTTTGAATAATATTTCATAAGTGAGAAGGACATGGCTTTCTGTGCTGCCTCTGCCCTAGTGTCTTTGTTTACATTGGCCCACCCCAACCTCTCCAACATGGATCATACAAAATCAGTAATTTCCTAAGAAAACAATAAAATATTGTAGAAGTTTTATATTAAACCTTCTTATTTTTTCTGGTTATAATTGTTCTACATCTCTTTGGATTTAAATTCTCTCTCCTATGTTATCTAGGACAGACTCTAAATCAATAAGTTTAACTACTGAATTTTTACAATACAAAAAGCTATGGGTTAACAAGAATTTCCAGATGTCTCCTCCTTCCTGTGCGGCGGGGAGGGGGGGATGATTTAATCCTTAATATCAAACCATCCTTTGATATTATATGAGTGAGCTGTGCATTTGTGTATTTTCAGTCACATTCTTTATCTATTATTTATTATAATGTCTTGTCTTATCTCCTTGTTAGTGCAAATCAGTTGCATCTAAAGAACTGAACGATGGTTTGTGTTTCCCCTCCTATAAAGGACTGCCAACCAGTTGCAAACAGTAATTCGTATGGCTTGTGCAAGGAGTAGGCAACATGTTTCAGATTCACAATTACTTGAAAACCCAATTATGAGAGGCAGATGGTCTATTTTAACCATTTTGGAAGTGTATCCAGCACTCAAAACATTTTCAAAATCAATGCAACAATCAGTTTCATGTTGGAAACTGGAAAACTACATCATGCTGAAGTAGCTTGAATTTAAAACATTTGCACATACCTAGCTTGTATTAAAGATAAAATAATTCAGTGAAGTATATGACGGGTGGGGGAGCTGCAAGGAGTTCATTACAAAATCTTAACCATAGTTTGACATTATATATGAACCAAGATCTATGTATCAACTTGATAAGGACCATGCTGTGTTACTTGAATGATCTATGTTAATTTTAAACATTTTTCAATAGAACAAGGAAAATCCTGAAAGACAATTTATTATATTGAGCGCAGACAGCAGACTTTATTCTAATTGTATTGGTATCATAATAGCTCACTCAGAAAATTCAAAACTCAAAAACTTATTTTTTTCACACTTTGCTCTGTTTCTAAAACTCATTTAAAGTGATAGGGTAAAATACACTAATAGAGAGTTCTGTCTATGGAGAGACAGAATTTCCATTTCAGCCATTTCTATGGTTCTGTAGGTGGAAGACTAGTAATTTAATAAATTGAGTAATATCTGAAGCCAATACATTCAATGCTTGTAAATAGGCTATGTTGTTTGCAGTATTTCCAGTTAAAGACTCTGCTGCTTCAGTAGCTTCCCCTAATTCTCCTTTTTTGCTGCTCTCTGGGTGATTCCACTACCTAGACGGAGATGGAAGAAGACAAAATTCACAAGAAGGTTGCTGCCTGCCATTATCAGTGTTTGAAGCTTCTGTAGTTTATGTTCGCATGGTGCCCTTCTGTATTTAATTTCAAAGCCCTATTTATTGAACTTTTAAGCACTTTTTGGCTGTGTTGATGATCATGGGCTTTTTTCCCCCTGTTCTCTTTTATGTGTGTGTGTGTGCTTTAATTTTACAGATTTATTCCTTGAGAGTAAATGGGGAAAATATTTATGTCAGACATAGCAATTTAATGTTGGAGGTCTGTATAATCAAAGGAGCACTTTTTGTTCTCATGGGCTGCTAGGCTGCATGAGATGGGAAATCACTTGCAGGCTGTTCTGGGCACAATGCATGAAATGCATGGGGATGTTCAACTTGGACATGCATGTTCTATCTTGGTAATTCTATAAAATGAGTTAAGTTGGCAGCTGTTAAAAATATTTTGCAGTGGCAAATGGGACATAGCCCTGTTTAGATGTTAAAACTTAAAAGAAATAGGATTTTTTATAAATGCCTATCACTTTATAGAGGTACCACCTGGAATTTTCAGTGTATTATACCACTTCCTACACTTGACTGGAAGTATGAGAGTAGAGAAAATGTTGCTTTAAAGTTAGAACTTGTGTTCTGAGTTTTCTTTCTAAATAATTTATGTGCAACATACAATGCTTTCGAAAGTATTGTGAGTTTAATTTTATCATACTATAAATTAGTTTTTATGATACCAAAAAGTACTGATTGCCAAGTGCTTTGAAGATGAAAATGTGGATTTAGACTCTTTTGACAGCATAATTTGTAAGTAAAAAAACAAAATGTATCATCCAAATGGGGCTATTTCCAATCTTAAATTTAGGATATCTCAGATAGGCAGATAGATATATAATGTGTAGACCTGTAGATTTACAATAACCTTACTAATATGTTCTGTTGCTTTCTGGCAGCTTCTGATAATTTAATATATCGTGACATAATTTTACCAAACATTGTAGAGATTATTGCATAACATTGCATTGAACAAATCCAAGAAAAGTGCCTAATCTTAATCCAAATTATTTTTTAAATATTGTATTGATACAAGTTGTAATAAATTCCAGTTAATTTCCATTTTTAAGATTGCCACTAACATTTCACTTGTTCCTTGAAATTATTTTTGTTTATACAGTTTATATTGTCATACATTGCTATACTTGAATATTGTCAAATAAGACTTTTGTTGATAAGAATAGCAACACAAAACATCCAGTTTCCCCAAATCTGTGGGAAAAAGTTTTCTCTACTTGCTGTTTTAATATCCTCCTTCCCCAGCATAATCCTGATTTTGTTTTTTCCTTGTTTCTTAGTACATACAATATATTACTTTCCTCAATCTTCTCTGCCATGTATCCTCTTGGCTCCAAGGACAGTATAAAGTAGAGCTGAACTCTGCTTCTTAATTTCATTGGATTAACCATTTAGACCAATGGCATAATTCTTTACTATTTCATTTGTATTACAAATAAGATTTGAGATGTCTTTAAATTAGTCGCAAAGTAGTTTTTTGTCCCTCCCCTTTCATATGTCATTAACAATGACTTACCATTTAGAAGGAACTGCAGAAGTCTATTTTGTGCATTAAAATAATTCAGCTGAAAGCTCAATAGGTGGATGACAAAGTCATCTGTTTTCACTAAGCTATATTTTGTTCCATTAAAAAAGGTAGCTGTAATTTGCTGCTTTCTCATAGTAAATTCATTGGTCGACAAGGAAAGATTATGGTTTTTCAGGCTAAATGTCTCCAAATGAACTACTTTCCTTTTTTCTGTAGTGTACTGTATGGCTGCAAATAAATGCAGATACATTGATAGATTCTGTTGTAGTGAGAGCGTATTCTGGTTCTTCTGATAATTAAGCCAAACTACCCTAATTCCCGGCCCCTTTCCTAGTATGCAATACACAATGTATATTTTGCTGATATAAAAATGGACAAATAGTCTGATTAATTGTAATACCTGTAACAAAGGTAATTACAATTACAAGATAATACTTATAAGAAAGCTTAGAATATACAGATTCACTGCAGCAATTCATTTGTTGCATAATAGGATTCCTAACCTTACGTGAACATCAGTTCCTCATATTTGTGGAATTGATTTCATTCCAGTAGGTAACATAAAGGCCCGGGCAGTCACCTGCCCAGGTACTGCGTTTCTTCTCATCAACCTCATTGTCTGTCCCTTTTAGGTCAGTGCACATCATGCTGCATCACAATGAATAAAAGCATTGAAATGTGCTTGCAAAATGTTAGTAATGCAGCAACACCAAATGTTTATTTGAAATATTTGAAATCATTGCAAGATTTTAAACATTATAATGGAAATAAAAACAAGGTATTTATTTTCTTGAAAAAAGTATAGATGAATATTTTTTTAATTGGTAAACTGCTCTAATATTTTCAAACACTAGGCACTTTTCATGGTGTTTTTTTTTTTTTTTAATTGCCTTTGTTGTATGTTACCCTGCTCTTTTTACATTACACATTGGTAGGAGCTGGATAAGACTCAGGATGAATTACTGAAGCATCAGGCTAGCATTAGTGAACTCAAGCGCAATTTTATGGAATCCACTCCTGAGCCACGCCCCAATGAATGGGAAAAACGGCGTATCACACCTCTAACTCTACAGGCACAAGGGGTATGTCATTAAAGACCCTTGTCAGCGTTCCATAATATGTCTTATTTCATATTAATAAGAAAAATAGGAACTGTCTCTTCACTGCTAATGTGAGATTTATTTGCAGCTAATACTTATTAACTTTGTGTGCATATTTTGCTTTCTGTTCACAATTAGTAAGGAAACCAGAGTTGAAGATATTACCCATTTTAGAGTCATACCTCATTAGAGTAACATTTGACAGTGCAGTTCTAATCTTATTCATTCAAAATTCTTAAGTGGCTTTGTTGGCTCACTGTATACAGTAAATGACAGAGGAAGCAGTCTATCAGACAAAAGAAAGTAAGAAAGAAGCATCATTTACAGCATTTTTTATCCATCTCACAAACTAATGTCCCTAAGATTGCTGAAGGATGCAATGTAGTCAAAGCATCAGGGATTTATAATATTAGAAGAGTATCCTGAAACATAATAGCATTAAAGGTGTCCATGGAACTTTAGTATAATAGCTTCACTATTCAATTAGGTATCATAGTTAACAATTTTGTGGAGAAATAAAGATACCAACTTAGAGAGGTACTTTCACAAACAAATGTATCCCTTTAATAAATTGGCATTTAGAGATTGGTTGCTACCAATCTGAATACCGATATATGGAATTTGAATATTGGGCCATATATTTTTCATAGTACTTTTCTAACACAATGTTAATCTGTATGAACACGGCAGTCCTGAAATTACTGATTCTGGGGTTATCCTCTAGATTTGACCAGAACTTCATTATATGTATGCATTAGGAGACTTAGAGTTTTTTCATCATTTTTCTATAACCTCTATTAGTGCCACATTATAGATACATAAAATAAGTTTAATGTATTTATATAGTATAAAAGATATCCTATACATAATGAGACTACTAGACATATCTTGAATATTCTAGGAAAAGTAGCATATACAGTCAGGTCCAGAAATATTGAGACATCGACACAATTCTAACATCTTTGGCTCTAT